CGTGTAACCTAATCTCTGGGTCCCTCATTCTTGATATGCTCTGGCTTGTCACTGCTCTCAGCCAGGAGGGGGCTCTGAGGAAAGGAGGACCCTGCACGCGAGACCCTTCCTGGGATGGCCGGAAACACAACTCCACCTTCTCTCCCCTCGACGAGACCAAAACCCCAGCTTCTGCACTTTACCAGCTCCCTGCCCCTTTCCGCACTGTGTCAACTCTGTAGTTGCTGCCATCCCGTCAAACTCTGCGTGTCACCACCTAGAGACCCATCCCCATGCAGTGGGTAGATAGATGGTCGAGCCACACCAGCTGCCTTTTTGATCGCTCTGTCACGCTGGGGCACTTCCTCTGTGGCAGATGCGGCGCCGGGGGAGGCACAGGGGAGACAGCTCTCAAACACGACTCCCAGTAAGGTGGGAGGCTGCCGGGCCCTCCTCCCGCGACGGGCTCTGCATGGAGCAGGGGCGGTTACAGAGAGGGAGGGCTTCTCAGAAGAGGTGACAATCCAGCCCAGGCCTTGAAGGGTGAACAGGATTTCCCGACAAATGAAACTAGCAGGGCCAATCAGGAAGTGACTGCAAGAGCCAAGAGAGAAGAGAGGAGGGCCCAGAATGGAGGGGGAACGGATGAGACAAGCTCAACTTAGTGACCGATTACCTATGGGACAGAGGAACAGGGGGGCGGTTCCAAGGTGGTGGCCTTGGCCTGCTAACTGAAGAAAGAGACAGCCTAGCGGTCTCCATGAAGGTTTGCCTGTACTCCCTCCTGCCAGGCTCTGCCACCAGCTGGCGGGGTGACCCTGGACCTGTCACTTCCCCTCTCAGACCCCAATTTCCTCATATGCAAAAACAAGGAAGTTCCACTAGACGTTTTCCAAGGCTCCTTCCAGCTGTACCAGTCGGACCCTAAAGAACCATGGAGGCCAACCCGCCTAGGGCGACTGGTCTGGATGACTATGCCCTCCCTCATCAGGTCGCACCCCACCCTGCCAGTACAAGGTCCTCTGGGTAATCCGCTTTGCTAGGTTGAAATAAAATTCCCTGAGGTCAAGGACGGTACCCTAAGACCTCCCAAAGGCCAGTCAAGTGTCTCTCAGCTGCTGTGGTGACTACCGCTGAAGAGGAAGGACACGCACTTTCTCACACACCTGCCACCCCTCAGCCCCTTGTCAACCCCAGATCGCTGAGCGAATCAAGCCAGCGATGTGTGCACATGCCCCCTGCACGTCCCCCCTGGAGTCTTTTATCTTAGCGACAGGGGACGCTTCCACATCAGCGGGTCTCTGAGCACTCATCCTGCAGAAGGAAAAGTGCAAGAGAAGAGGCGTCAGGACAACATGCTCTGACCTCATTTAAAACAAAACAAAGGTAAGCAGAGGGCAGCTGTTGAGGTGGCAGCGAAGGATGACAGGCATCTGCGCCACCACTGGTGGGAGAGGGGTAACACCAAGCCCCATCTCTCCTCTCCGGAGGACGCCAGAGCCTCGAAGCTACAGAAAAGGCCAGAGATCCCCGCTCCGTTATCTGACAGCGCAAAAACACTGTCGGGAACGGGAGCGGGGTCGCTAGTCGCTCTCCCGGGAAGTCACCTCAAAAGTTGATGCGGGCCACCTCCAAAGTGCTCCCCTGGAGGAACGGGGGCTGCGGCCCTTTGGAGGGCTGGCTATCTTCTACCACACAGCGGATCCCTGCAGCCTGGGGCCGAATCAAGGCCAAAGCGACCGGTTCGTTGTAATAAACTAACGAATATGCAGAGGCCCCGGGAAGAAGTGGACTTTGGAGCTGATGCTAATTAGGCCCCTGCCCTACTTTCTAAAATGGCATTTCCCTGCCAAGGGGCCTGCTCCCGGCCTTGCGAGAATAAAGTCGGTCCAAGGAGTCGAGGAGGTTGTGCTCGGGGCAGAGGTCTCTAAAAACAGCCCTGCCCCTCAGCCTTACCTTACTAGGCTAATTGCTGCCACCGCAGCTGTCTGAGCTGGCACAGAGCGCCACCATCCAGCCCGGCCTCCTGGAGGCAACAGGTGCTGAGACCCGGAATGCAAAGGGTCACCGCAACCCACCAGCCTTTGAAAGTCAACTTGGTCGGGCAACAACCTACAAGGTTCAGAGAAAACTGCACTCTGCCTGGGGTGGGGGCGGGGGGGCCGCCCGACCAAAAGCCCCGCTCCAACGGCTGCCACTCCAGCCAACTTCTCCCTACAGCTGCCAGCTCCCCACCCCAGAGCAACCTCAAAGCTGGAGGAGGCGCCCCGACTCAAGGACCCGGTACCGCCAGAGCCCTGGGAGAGGACGGACCCGGAGCAAGAGTTTGCTAGATGTGATGGCAGGAGAGAAAGCCCTGGCAGATGGCCCCTGGCCATGCCGACCAGAACACACCTCCACGCTGCCGCAGAGGGGAGCTTCCTAAGCAGAGGGGAGCTTCCTAAACGACCGGGGCCTGACCCGAGGGGAGGGAACTTTTCCCTGCCCACGCCTTAGTCCCTCAGGCTCGCGCCCAGAACAGAGCGGCCACAGGCCCACTGCTCTCAGTGACAACGCCTAGCCCCACCTTACAAGCAAAGAGAGGTGCTGCGGGCCAGCGGCCATTCGGCAGCCGCTCAGACAGAACAAGGCACTAGGTGTGCAAACCAGGCCGAGCGGCCAGCCCGGGGAGGGGGCCGAAGGAGGATGCGGCCGAGCCCTAGAGACCTAGCAAGAACACGGGGCACAGAGAGGGCTGAAAGCCAGCCCCAGGCCCGCCATACCCGGGGACAGAGGCGCAGCACAGGCTCCTCCCAACGAAGGAAGGAGACCTTGGGTTTGGGGGAGGCATGAACTGGGGCAGGTAGCCTCTCCGAGCTCTCGGGAAGGGAAGAGTCACGTAAGGGACCACCTAGCCTGCTGCGGATCACTCAGATTCCTCCCTCGCATCGAGGGCCCCAAGTCGAGAAAACCGGTAACGGGAAACGAAGCCCTGAAGAAGTGAACGCCGACCCCGGGAGGCAGCGCCGCTGCCTGATCCCTGGGTCCAAGGGTCCTGCACCGTCCCAGACAAGTTATCCCCCACGCATACAACCCCTGGAGGTCGGGATTAGGCTACTGGACTCTGCCCCTTCTCTCGAGACAGAACTCATCCGTAATCTAGAAGTTGTCATCTCTCCCGAATGGGCACTAGCGATGAGGAGCGCAGCAGGCGCAGGGGGAGGGAGGAGAGGAGGGAGAAGGGAGGGAGGGGGTGGGAATCTGCCTGCGCCAAAGGGACGCATCCGCCCGCCAGCCCGGCCGGGTAACGGTGTATGTCTGAAGTCACCACCGCTGGCGACGCCCCCGCACCAGCCGGACTAGACGTTCCTCTCCAATAATGAAAGCACCCCCCCAAACACAGGGGACTCGGGGGTGTTAAGAACGAGGCAAAGAGCGAGGGAAAGCAAAGAAGCGGGGCAGAGTAAAGGGTCGCGGACGGGAGGAGAAAGCAGATCAGTGCAGAGAAAGAGGGAGGAATGGGAAGAAGGGGAGATGAG